AGTTTTCTGCTATTACTTCTGTGAAGAGTTTTTTTATGTCATCTGCACTCTCTCCTCTTTCTTCATTGACTCCAGTAAGTCTTATGTTATTCTTCTTTCCATTGTCTAGCAGCTGCTGGATTGGTTTGTCACAGTCCCTTTCAATTTTGAAGCAATTTTTCTTTTCCTGGTCACTAATTGGAATCTTATCTTCTATATCTGAAATTCTATCCTCACATTGGCTCATTCTGCTGTGTAGACTTTCAATGGAGTTTTTAAACTCCTGGAAATCTGTTTGCATCTATTTCATGGATTCCATTTGTTTCCTGTGTTGGGATTCCATCATGTCCCTGAGCTCCTCTCTAGATTTATTAATCATGTCTTGCACTGTGAGCACAACTTCTGCTGTTATCTGAGAAATTATATCTGATTTCATTTTTTCCAGATCCTCTTTTGTTGTCAATTCAGGGAGTCCAGGTGGTTGAGTATCAGTGTTCCATCTCTTTTCCCTTTGGGGTTGCTGTAGGTGATCTGGAAGTCTGGTTTTGAGACTTCTTTATGTGTCTTCTCATTTCAACGGGGGCTGAGGGGTCGGGGCTCTGTGTGTGTGTGCTGCTGGCCCCTGTGCGGCTGGCTTACCTTCTCTGCACTATGAGCAGTGGTAAGATGGCCCGGAAGCCTCCTGTGTGCTGGGAGTGATGTTACAATTGCCCAGAAGCCTCCTGTCTGCTGGGAGCCATGCTACAGTGGCCTGGAAGCCTCCTCTGCACTGGGAGCAGTACTAAGGCTGCTCAGAAGCCTCCTCTGCCTTCCTTCCCGTTTTAAAGCATATTCCTAATAAAAAAAAATCCTTTAAGGTCTGGGGATTAGCTCAGTGGTTCTGGTGCCTGCCTTGCAAGCACAAGGTCCTGAGTTTGATCCCTGGTACCAAATAAATAAATAAATAAATAAATAAATAAATAAATAAAGCATATTCCTCCCTTGCATAGTTCTTAGCCTCTTTTATGATTCTTTGGCTTTTATCTGGGGTACAGCAAATGGCCAAAATGACTCTCACTTTGATGAGTCAAAAGTGAGGGCCAAAGTTTGAAACCCATGTGCAGATTTACTAGGATCCTCTTATACATCCTCTAGGATCCATCCTTTGCATTTCTGGATGGTTGCAACTGAAAAAGAGACCCAAACTCCTGTAGTCCCCTCTGCTCCTGGGACCTCTCTCAGGCAGGATGAACTGTGAGTTAGAGGAGTAAGAAGCACCACTCTGAGTTCATTCTGCAGAGTTTAAAGCTGTCTGTGTGCAAGCAGTGGGACTTAAGGCTGTCTGAGAAGCATGATGAGGAGGCTGAGGATTGTTGGCTTCCTCTGGGGCACTAGGCTCTAGTGGAGTTCTTAAGTCACTTGGAGGGGATGGGACTGAGGTAATGGCCTGAGGATTATATGGAGGTTGAAGAAAGTGATTGTCTTCATTAAACACATGAGAAAAACCTGTATCCCCCAAGACACAGGTGGAGATCCTAGGACAAGATCATCAAATATTTCTCCTTCTTCCTCAGGGCCACTCTAAATACCATATAAAAGGTCACAAAAGCCTGCACATAAGGGCTTCACTCTACTATGTTTTAAGCAGAAATACTTTAACTGAAAAATGGTCTCAGAATTTAAACTGCCATCCTGCACCCACCTTTCACCATTTCCTTTTTCATGCTGAATCCAAACTGTATTGCAATAGTAGATGCAGTATTGCAAAGATGTCTTTTTTTCCAAATTGTTAGGGTCAAATTTTTCCCACTGATTAAGGATACAGCCTGACAGGGAGGTCAATGGTAATCCTTGGGGTGTGGTTCATGAAGTTTCCCGTGGCTCATCTTGGGCCTATATATGTAGAGAGAAACAGCTAGCTCTCTGGTCCTTAAGATGGGTCCCATGCAGAAGTAGATTTGAGGCTTCTCTTGTGAGATTCAAGTATTCACTAGATAGATGTCTCTGAAGCTAGGATGTTGCCATTGTCTTTTATAGAAGCATAGAAAAAAGCCCCACTGAGGGCTTTTTGTCTCCGTACAGGGACCTGCTAACTCCTTAGGAAGAACTCTATTGAGCCACTTGATGGCTCTTCCTAGCCCTTCAGCACTCCCAGAAGATCAGGGTGGAGTCCCTCCCCACCAGGACATGAGCCACTTGATGGTTCTACTTAAGCAGGTTGGAGCCACTTGAGAAACAGTATCTGAGGACTCCTTTAAGCATTTTGGGCAACTTGCTAGCTTTACTTAAGAAGGGTCCAGCCATTTGAGATACAATATCTTTTGCATTTACCCCATGGTAAGAACTTTGTTACTTTGTTTAAGGCAGTAAAGAGATCCCCCCAGGTTTTTTTTCCCCAAGGGAAAAACCTTTAAAAATCCTAAGAACAAGGATAGCTCTACATTTCACTCACAGTCAGTTGAGTTGAGCTTTACTGGGTGTTCTTTTGTTCTGCTCACCCCATCAGGCACATGTTTCTAGCGTAATTCAAAATAAAAGAGGGAGGAAGCCCACATGTTCCTTGTAATTGGAGACTTCTACCTACAAGGGTGAGACTTTCCAGTGACCATGAGATGAGGTCAGTAGAAAACAAACATGGCAGAACCTATATGGCTGATTCATGTGACAAACCATAATGGTGAAGAGGTGAACTAACTAGGAAGAAATAACACCCCGAGAAAGAAAAGTGCATCTAGGGGAAAAGTGGAGATGGTACGTTGAGCACAGAAAGAATAAACTTGGGTAGGAGGCTTCTCAGGCAGGAGAATAAGTTGCCAACAGCTGCTTTTCCCAAGAGAGTGAGAAAGCCGAGCAAAGTATCATAGAGAACAGACAGGTGAAGTCCAGAAGGCTTACTAAACTCTAGGTCGCACGCACAATACCTGGACCATCTGTTCTGCAAATGGTTTAATGGCTCTCTGGCTGTTCTCCTGCAATGAGTGACCAGAAACGAGAAAAAGAAGAAAGGAAAGGGGAGATAAGCTTGAGGTAGACCCGTGAGCCTCTTACTGGATAAGAAAAACACAGAAACCATGCACTTCCCTGCCACAGGGAGAGAAAAGCAAGAAACAGTTTTTGGCTCCATGAAAAAAGTCTCCTGAGTTCCCCAGCCTAGGGGAGAGGAGAAGGAGGGGGAGGTGGAAGAGAGGAAGACTACCACAAAGATGATGACCTTGTAGCATTTTAGAGACAAACAAATAAAAACGTGCCGAAGGGCCTTCCCTGCTGCCTCTGGCTGGCTAAGCCAGATATGTAACCAGGTTTTTGGTTTCTGGAGTCTCCTTCTGGAGGTGGTTTCCAGGTTCCTTCTGCCCTGAGCAAAGAATTGGCCAAGAAAAGTGCAAGTGGTAGCAAAGTTTTATTAAAGGTAGGAAAAGAAACAGGCTTTGCAGAGCAAGTTTGGGCCAAGTAAAAGTAGGAAAAGAAGTGCACCCTACAGAGAGAGGGCCACCATGCAAGAATGAACACAATAGCTGGTGGCTTCTTCTATAGTATAGTACTGTAATTTTTGCTGATTGTACTGTACAACACAGTACTGTAATTTTACTCTACTGTATTTTTTCTGTGCTGCATGTGAGAGTTATGCAAATAAAAGCAGTCATCAAGTTGGAGTTTCCTTTGACCAGTTGAGGAATAAATAAGGAGTATCTGTAATGCTGGCTTTAAAATCAGCTGAATTCTGAGGATGGAGGTATTGCAAAGATGTGCCTTAATTGTCTCAGTACTGATTTTTACCAGGATATCCTGGGTTCCAAGTCATTAAAGCAACCTACCTCACACTTTTTACTTGGTTTCTTTTAGGCTTGTAAAGATCTTAGTTTCCAGTGGCACAGATGTGAATCTGAAGAATGGAAGTGGCAAGGACAGGTAGGACACGGGAGATGCCTGAAATGTGCTCATGTTCTTGTGTGCCCTTATGGTACAAGGCATGTGCCCAAAGGGTTTTTGACTTAAGTATTTTGTTTCTTTTGACAGCTCTGAGAGGTGAGTAGGTCCCAAAGGAAAGATGGTGAGAACAAAGGTGGCTGTTCATTTGTGCTTTGATTCTTTGGGTATTCATAGGCATCAGTTATACTGTGTCTCCCTTCTCCAGCTCAGTCAGTGTTGACTTTTAAAGTAGGCATCACCAGCTCAGCACAAGGCACTGGGTCATGAGTGCTTGGCCTGGGCACTTTGTCTCTCTCTCAGGGCTTTCACTGCATTTCAGCCTTCCTCTGTTTACCTGGAATCCCAGCTGTTCCTAGAGAAGCAGTCAGAAATCAGCATCAATAGTGCAAGCACAGAACTTGTCTGAAGTTTCATCTGAATGAGCTGAGGGCATAGAGGAAAAGGTCATGGAAAAAACATCATACTTACAAAAGATAGGGGAATTTTTTTTTTTTACTTTTTGAGAAAAGTTCTTGCTATGTAGCCTAGGCTGGCTTCAAATTTAGCCTCCTGCCTCAGCCTACCATGTGCTAGGATTACAGATGTGTGCTACTGTACCTGGCTATAAAGAATGTTTTTTAGAGAAATAAATACTAATCTAGTGATTAGATTTAATTAATTAATTCAACCAGTCAATACTTATTAAATGATGACCACACACCAGGCACTGTACTTGATGTTTGGGTAGAACAGTGTGCAAAATGCAGACCTTCTTCTCTTAAACAGCTTGTGGTCACATAATGCACACACATAAATATCTCTGGGACAGCCACAAAGCATTTTATATAAGGGCCATCATGGAAATGTCAATTAATTTCTGGAATCAGAAAGCCTACCCACTCCACTCCTTGAATTTAGTGCAAGAACAGCTTTTAAAAAACAACCCTTAAAAACTCGCAGTGCACAAAGCATTTTCCAAATAATTCTTAGGTTAATTTGGAACAAGCCATCGGCTCAAGAAGTTCAAAAGAATAGTGCCACTTTATAAAGAAAAAAGAAAAAAATGTAGGGGATGTGGGAAAAAGGAAAGAATTAAAATGGAGAAATTGATTAATCAAAAAATAATAGATTATTGAGAAATGTAAGAGTTGCCTCTTTTAAAAAGCCTGTATGATAAAACAGACCAATTTCTTATAATTCTAAGAAAAGAGAAGCAAAATTAGAAATTGAAAAGGGGACAGACATCCCAGTAGTAATAGTGGAAATTTAAACATGAAAAGAAATGGTACATTTCTGTCCAAGAGATTTGATAATTTCAGTGAAATGGATACTTTTTTTATAGAGAAAACTTACAACACCAAATACAACCTAAGAAGCAGAAAATCTGAAATAGCCAATATCCATGCAACAAATTAGAAAATTTACTAAAGTATCACCTCAAGCACAGGCTTTGTGACTTAACTGTCTTACCAGGGAGTTTGTTCAGATTTTCTGTGCACCTGTAATAACCTTGAACCTTTCCAGAGCAGAGAGGAAGATGAAAAGCTACAGATTATAACCTTATTGCTAAAATCTGATATTAAGGGAAAAAAATCTATTTGTGTGTTTGTAGGTATTAATAAAACTTTTCCTCTCCAACTAAGAGGGCATTAGGAGAGGATAAAGAAATTTAATATTAGGAAATTTCTAATAAAACACTGCCCATCAGTATATTAAAGTTGAAAATAAAAATTGGGTACAACTGAGCTCCTTTTCAAGTTAAAAAAAAGTGTATTTTTTAAGTACTAGGGATTGAATCCAGGGCCTTTGCACTGAGCTACATCCTCAGCCTTTTTATTTTTTAGACAAGAGCTTACTAAGTTACTAAGTTGCCCAGGTGGGGCTTGAACTTGTGACCCTCCTACCTCAGCCTCCTAGAGTGCTGAGATTACAAGTGTGTGCCTTCATGCTTGGCACCACACAAATTTCTTTTAAGTTACCTCAGACAATAAGCTAGTGTCATTCTTAGTGTGGGCAAATTTATTTTCTAAGTTAGTGAAGCTCATAAGAGAGAAGTCGCTCGGGATTTAGCTCAGTGGTTTTGCTGCCTGCTACGCAAGCATAAGGACCCGAGTTCTATCCCCGGTACCAAAAAAAAAAAAAAAAAAAGAAAGAAAACAGTAAGATAGAAGTCAAGAACACAAGCAGAAGCTGGGTGTGGTGGTATACTTATACATACCAGCACTCATGAGGCTGAGGTAGGAGGATTGCCATGAGTTCCAGGCCAGCCTGGATTACATAGTGAGTTCAAGACCAGCCTGAACTAAATAGGGAGAACCTGTCTCAAAAAACAAAACAAAGGGGGTGAAGGGCGCACAGGTAATGGGGGAAAAAAAAGAACCAAGATACATCATGTACAGGTACAAGCACCCAATGATAAATGTAAATGTATTGTATACCTAAAATGTACCAATAAAAGAATTAACAAAACAAAACAACCAAAAACAAACACAAAAAGAATACAGGCAGAGCCAGAAAACTTGATGTCAAACCCTGACCTATGAACACACTGTGTGACCTTGGGCAGGTTATATACCTCTCTGTACTTTGATTTCACCATCTATAAAATAGGGATGATAGAAATGCGCATGTCATAGGGTTATTGTGAGCATTAAATGAGTTAATACTTGAAAAAATGTGTTAAAGAGTGCATGATGTATGATATAGGTTATACTGTTATTTCATAATGAGACAGTATTTTGGAAAGCTGGTCAACTTGGTAAGATATGAAATAGGTAGGATTCCTGTCTCTCAGAACTCATGAGAATTACCTTTCACATACTTAGATTTGCTAAGGAAGTTCAATACGGTGGCCAGCTATAAGACAAGGAAAAAAATGTTTAAAATACCTACAATTACTGGTTAATGAATATAATGGAGAAAATTAAGAATAAAAATACCTAAAGAAATTTGAAAATAAAAAATTTAAAAACTATACAAAGAGATATAAAGATTTAAAAAACAGACATATACCATATGCCAGACTATTATAACATTTTCAGTTTTTCCCACAATAACATATAGATTGAATGTAGCCTCAAATAGAATTATTCTTGGGAACCTATCAAAATGCTTGCAACATATCTGGAAAAATATGATAATAATTGCTAAAATTTTGTCAGCCTATGAAGGATTTGTTTTGACAGATATTAAAATAACTTAAAAGTTTTAGTAATTAAAGTAGTGTGATACTGATACAAATACTTGGAAAAAATAAATGGAATCGAAATTCTAAAGGAGATCTCCATATGAATAAGAACCTAGTATAGGGTAATGGGGGAAATGCAAACCAACAAAGGTATTGAGAAAATGAGCTAACTGAAGAAAAAAATGAGGCAGATCTTGGCCTTAAAGCCTCTACCAAAATAAATTCCAAGAAAAGGAATAATTAAGTATAAAAACTTGTGAGGAGCAGAGCTGGGCCCAGGGCAGAGGAGGTGAACTTTCTGGGCTGCCGTACCATTGCCCCAAGAGCCAAGGAGGTGAGCTGCATGGGTGCCAGCAGCACACCCCCACACCCCCGTTGAAATGAGAAGAAATATAAACAAGTCTCAAAACCAGATTTCCAGATCACCTCAAGCAACCCCAAAGGGAAAGGAGATGGAAAAATCTGATACTCAACCACCTAGACTCCCTGAGTTGGCAACAAAAGAGGCTCTGGAAAAAATAAAATCAGAAATAATTTCTCAGGGGCTGGGGATTTAGCTCAGTGGTTCTGCCACCTGCCTCACAAGCACAAGGTCCCGAGTTCGATCTCCAGTACCAAAAAAAAAAAAAGGACAGAAATAATTTCTCAGATAACAGAAGAGATTGTGCCCATTGTGGAACACATGATTAATAAATCTAGAAAGCACACAGATAAAAACATAGAGGAGCTGAGGAACATGATGGAATCCCAACAGGAAACAAATGGAATCCATAAAACAGATGCAAACAGATTTCCAGGAGATTAAAAACTCCATTGAACGTTTACGCAGCAGAATGAACCAATGTGAGGACAGAATTTCAGATATATATGATAAGATTGCAGTTGGTGACCAGGAAAAGAAAAATTTCTTTAAAATACTAAGAGACCATGAGAAGTCAATCCAGCAGCTGCTAGACAATGCAAAGAAGAATAACATAAGACTGATTGGAGTCAATGAAGAAACAAGAGACAGTACAGATGACATAAAAAACTGTTCAAAGAATTGATGGCTGAAAACCTCCTAAGTAGGGACAAAGAACTTGACACACAGATAAGTGAGGCATACAGGACTCCAACTAGCCTTGATCAAAAAAAATCTATACATAGGCATATAATAGTTAAGATTCCAGAAACCCAACAGGACAAAGTTCTACAACCAGTTAGAGAAAAGAAACAAATCACATACAAAGGAAAACCCATCAAAATCACAGCAGATTACTCAATGCAAACCCTCATGGCAAGAAGAGCTTGGAGTGACGTATTTCAAGCCCTAAAGGAAAACAGCCTACAACCCCAATTGATGTACCCTGCAAAATTATCTTTCAAAGTTGATGGAGAAATAAGATACTTTCATGACAAAGAGCACCTTAGGAACTTCACAAGTACCAAACCAGCACTCCAAAAAATTTGAGACAATATCCTAGGAACAGACAATGAGGATCACAACCCCAGGAAGCACAGCAGAATGAACACATTGGGCACAACAAGAAATTAAATGTAAAGGGGGAGAATCCAACAGTATCAGTTATAAACATCAATGTTAATAGTCTCAATTCACCAATAAAAAGAAATAGACTGGAAAAATGGGTCAAGAAATAAGATCCAACAATATGCTGCATACAAGAAACACACTTAATTAAAAAACTAATAGACTGAAAGTTAGAGGGTGGAAAACAATACTCCATGTGACAGGAATGCGAAAAAAAGCAGGAGTAGCTCTTCTCTTTGCAGATCAAGTGGATTTCAAACCAACACTGATTAAGAGAGACAAGGA